CAAGGCCAGACCTCGAGCTGCCCCCGCCTCCCCCTCCTCAGGACCCCCCTGCCAGCCCCCAGCGAGTTATGGTCAGTCTGGGGTGGTTTCCACCCATTTTTTCCCCGAGTCTGTGGGGCTCAGCAGGACAGGGGTGCCAGTGGCCACGAGTGAGCGGGGCAGGGACAGCTGCCATCAGCCCAAGGTGGCTGAGATGATGCTTGAGCGTTTGTGGGGTCTTGCCCTGAACAAGCAGCTATCAGGTTATCATTTACTTCAGGTCTGGGCAAGAGACCGGATTTTTGTAGGAAAACCAGTTCTGTAGGGGTATTTTTGGTTCTCCCCATGTCCTCATCAGGCCTTCAGAGGAAGGCCAAAGCAAAAAGCCCTTCCCGTACCCAAACTTCACTGGTCTTGGTGGTGTGAGAGGGTGTTTGTCAGAAAGCATCCCGATCTCAGGGGCACCTGTGGCCTCTCGTGCCCAGAGCACCTCTGTGCAGCCTGGCTGTGGCCAAGGGTGATGGGCTCTTCGTGGGAGACCCCAACTGGTTCCCTAAGTAGGTGGTGGGTGCTGGCCTGCGGGGTCCCACAGGGACACTGATGCCCGCCGTGCCTGCAGGAAGTCACAGGAGAACCGGCGCGTCTTCTCCGAGGACAAGCTGAAAGAGGGCCAGAGCGTCATCGGGCTGCAGATGGGCACCAACTGGGGTGCCTCGCAGGCTGGCATGATGGGCTATAGCAGGAGCTGGAGGCAGAGAGCTGGGCACAGGGCGGTGGCAGGAAAGCCATAGGAAATGCTGTCCTTTCTTGCAGACCCTGCAGCAGCCACGGTCCAGCAGTCCCATCGTGATCCTTCAGGATGTGCAGACTGCCCCAAAAGCATTGCTTGCTGGTGCACACAAGCCCGAGACCATCCGTCTCATCACCAGGGACTTCATCCGTGACCTCGTGTAAGTCTGTGTCCGAGTGGTAGCTCTGAGGAGCTTTTGGGGCCCCGTGTGTCTGTCACAGCACTGTCTTGGTGCACAGAGCTTGTCTCGCCATTTGCCAGGACTTCTCAGAGGAGGAGGGATGGGCAGCAGCACTCTGATACTCCTGGCTTGGGCGGCAATGGAGCCGGCAAGCGCTGGGCATTGGGTGTTTTACAGTGGCACTGAATCATCATAAGAACCAGTAAAAAGCAACATAAAACCTTCTCAGCAGCCAGAAAAGCTCCTTTTGGGCTGAACAGCCCCGCAGTGGGGCACCTGCCCCCCATCACACATCAAATGCTGCCTCCCGATACGGAAAAGACCCATGTGAGAAAGGCAGTGGACCATTGCCTGCAACCCCTGCACACCGGGAGCTGTGTGCTTCTCTTCAGGGATGTTTTATAAGCAAGGCTGAACTGTAAGAACCCTGGCCCTAATTAGTACACCTCGTTAAAAGCCTGCAGCACATAGACAAGAATAGGGCCATTATCCCAGCCAGCGCCAATTTAGCCTCATTTTGACCTCCCTAAATTTTCCTTGTAGTTGTCGCTCGGTGCGAGGTTCATCTTCGCTTCCTGTTTTGAACCACCGTGTAATGCTCTTGCACTCTGTAAAATGTGACACCTGCCCTGCAAATGGTTCAGGTTTGGGTTTTGTGGCAACTCAAATGGCACAGAGGCACTGGTTCAGGCTTTCGAGGCTGGTACCTGGTTTTATATGTTCATGTTCTTATTTGACCCTACCGACGAAGCCGAGGGTCAATTTCCAGATGCATCGCATGGCCAAAGCTCCAGCTGAAGCTAATGGAAACTGTTTGTGCCAGTTTAATTCCTGAAAATCAGGCTCTAGACATCCCAGGCTGGTCACCCAAACACTGGGACAACTAAAGCAGTGGCCACTGTATCATTACATTTATTAGTGCCGTTGTTACCATTAGCCATTCTTTAAAGCGTCCTGGAATCCGATGCTGTGATGCAGCTCTCGAACGATCATTATGCAGGTATCTGTTCGTATTCACAAGGGTGGATGAAAGGTGACACACAATAATAATGAGTAAATTCTTAGTCCTGAACATCTTCAAAGTGCTCTATACATTTGGTTAATATACGCTCCTACACCACACGCGTCACCATGGTATCTGAGTAATACAAGGAGTAATTAACTCCTTACAACTCCCCTGGAAAACAGCCCTGTATTATTATCCAAATTTTTACAAGTGGGGAAATGGGGGCACCAAGAGCTTCGGTGATTTCCTCTAAACCACAGTGTGAGTCATGGGCAGAGTTCGTGGCTCTGCAGTGTCCTGCAGAGCCGGGGTGACGGCTGGAGGGACATCTGCCAGCGCAGGGAGGGGAGAGGCTGCTCTGTGTTTGGGCAGTGCAGCATTTCCTTGTCTTGTGCGGGGTGGATTCCCGGGGCAGCAGAGCCAAAGCTGAGCTGTGCTGTGCAGATCTGGAACCAAAGCAGGCTGAGTGTTATTAAACAGAGTGAAAAGGCAGCTTATGCTCCCCCAAATCTGTCCGCATGGAACAGAGGTTTCAATCCAGCACACAGGAGCAGCGACAAGTAGTCTGGGGGGCAGGGATGAGCAGTGTGTCCTGCTGGGAAAGGGGTCAGGGCAGTGGTCAAAATTTTCCCAAATGAGAGCTGGGAAAGTCAAGTTGGACTGAAATACTTTCAGCATTTTTTATTGGGGCTGACTAGGCCCATGCCGAATGTTTTGGGGTTTTCCTGGGAGGCCCCTGGCCACCCCACCGAGCATCCTGTCCCCGTTGTGTGTCACAGCATGATGCCACTTTCACTGCGCTTTCTGTTTCTTCCTCCCCCCAATGGGGACAGTTGGGTCCCCACAGCTCAGGTGCTTCCTGCATTGCTGTCAGGTGACTCCTGGGCACAGAGCTGTTCCTGGGCAGCCCGGGCAGGTCCCACGGCCAGGCAGGGAGGTCAGCAGGGCAGGGAACTGAGTGAGCTGTGGGAGACTCCATACCACTGACCACTTGCTCTCTGTGCCCAGCATCCCTGCGGAGAACCCAGCAGCATCCCTCATTATCGGCCAGGAGGATTTCCAGCGCATTAAAGCAGCAGCTCGAGTCCTGACCAAGGAGGAGCGTGAGGCCAAGCTGGCAGCCCTCAAAGCGGAGAAGGATGCTGTTCTCGTAGGCATTTCCCCTGCTGCCCCTCCTTTCCCTGTTTGCTGACCGGTCTTGGGCTGCGGGTGGAGGTGGGTGCAACAAAGTAGAACCAACTTTGCAGGTCACAGACGTGCCAGCCAGGGCTGTCCCTGGAGCTATGCTCAGGGCCCACCACCTTCATCCCTCTTTCACCCACATTTTGGTGCACTGGTCACTGCTGGGGGTCACCGGCGCCAGTGTGCAGACAGCACAGCTGTGTGTCTCAGGTCTCCTCCAGCCCAGAAAGAGCTGTGCAGGATCCCTGGGCTTGCCCGCTCCATGGGTGGGGAAGCAATCCCACATTGGTTGCTCCCGCAGCCTGCAGTGACCCCGGAGGCTGTGATGAAGCCTCTGCGCTGCATTTCTGCCACCCTGCAGAGGGAGAGGGGTGTCTCCATAGGAGGGGTGTGGGAAGGGGCTCCCCAGCCTCTGTGCCAGGACTGGAAGGGTCTGCCATGCTCTGTGGTGCTGTGCCGGGGACGTGGTGCAGTGGAGCGTGCCCCTCGTGAGCCAGGCTGCTCCGCAGCACCCTCGGGCAGGCTTAGCCTTGTGGGCCTGCCCCGGGAGGGCATCCAGCTTTCGGCTGCCCTGCCTGTTCCCTCAGGAGGCAGTGAGTGAGCGCAAGAGTGCAGCGAAGCAAAGGGCCATTCTGCAGCAGATGGGGAAGCTGAGTGAGCTGGAGGAGGAGGCACGGGAGAGGGCTCAGTACCTGCTGCAGCGGGCGAACAGGATGCGCATGGAGCAGGAAGACGAGATCAAGGAGTTCAGCGAGGTAGGGATGGAGGGTCTCCAGGCATCACCTGGAACCACAGGACATTCTGCAGATGTTAAGACCTGCCTGAGCTGCCTGCTTGGACAGGCTGCTGAGAGCGCCCATGAGCTTCACTTAGCCACTCTAGACCTAAACCCTGCTCTACTTGTTGCTAACCAGGGTCTTCCTCTCCTTCCCTTTTCCTTTCCTCATCTGCGTGTCTGTCTGTGCTGCCACTGCTAAGTCTGGCTTAGAGACCAGGAAGACCTGTTGTTCCCACAGCTGATCCTTGGTGCCAAGTGCCACATGATCCGTGACACCCAGATCCTCGAGAAGCAGCTCATTGCAAAAGAGCTGGAGGAAGAAGAGAAGCGCCTGGCCAAGATGATGGAGGTGGAGAGGAAAAAGGCTGATAAGATGCAGGAAGAACTGGAGCACAGGAGGAAGCAGGAGCTGATCAGGTTTGCAGAAGGCTCCCTCTTCCCCACAGAGGCATCCGACCTCTTCACAGGCCTGGAGTAAGCTCCGGTTGCCGGCTTCACACCACAGCACACCTCCCAGTCACAGCAGCTGGACCAGACAGCGTGAGGCAGCAGACACGCCACCTGATACCTGTGCTGGCATTTCTGCTTCTGGGAGTGGGACAAAGGCACAGGGAAACCTTCTCTGCTTTCTTCTTTCCAGAGGGAGGCAGGAGCTTGTGAAGCAGAGGGAGCAGAATGGGGAAGGGCGGGCTCTGAGAGCCGAGCAACGAGACCAGGAGGCACAGGAGCTGCTAGAGTATCTGGAGCAGCTGAAGATGGAGGACCTGAAGGTGCGACCAGTGACCCGCCAGGGAGCAGGGGAGGGCTGGACTTAGATTTTCACCCTGTTTGAAGGGTGACCCAGTGCTGGGTAAGTCAGATTTGTTGTGTGGAGACAACCACCAGCAGAATTAAAGCTCTGGTCTCTTGGGGAAATTGAGGCATCCTCAGAAAGTGACCTGAACTGCTGAGCCCTCCCTTGCCCCGAGTGCGCTGATGGGCCCTCAGGAGGGCACACAGGGAGGAGGGGAGGGAGTGCTCTGTGCCGCAGCACTTGCCATGTCACGCTTGGACCCTCTGCACCGTTTTCAGGACTTGGAGCGGAGACGGGAGCAACAGAAGAAAATCCAGGCTGAGATTAAACGCATCAATGATGAGAACCTGCGGTGCAAGGAAGAGCAGCAGGAGCAGGAGAGGATGGCAGACGAGCAGGTGCTCGAGTACCAAAGGCAGAAAATGGTAAAAGGACGGAGCATGGGCAGCACTGGCAGAAGTTCAGCGGGCAGCAGAGGTGCTGCAAGGGAGCTGCCATGATGCTCTGTCCCACGCAGGAGCGGGAGGCCAAGTTTGAAGCTGAGCAGGAGAGAATCCGTCGGGAGAAGGAGAAGGAGACGGCACGCTTGAGGGCCATGCAAGAGAGGGCCCAGGACCACCAGGCAGAGCAGGTGAGTGCCTTGCTGACACATGGTGTGCTCCTGTGCTGGCTCACTCACCACCTTCCATGTCACTACTGCAGCAAAGTGGAAGCTCCCCTGGATGTGGTGGGTCTGCTGGGGCATTGCGGGTCCAGACAAGCACCTAGAGCCAGGTTGATGTCCTGGAGCAGTGCTGGCCATGGCACTGGGAGAGAGGCAAAACCACGGTCAAGTGTTTCCATACCTCCCCAATGAGGGAAGCCCTCCACGAGCCTCCAGCATCACCGCCGTCCGCCTTTGACAGGATGCACTGAGGGCGAAGCGCAGCCAAGAGGCTGCTGAGCGAGAGTGGCGGCGCAAGGAGAAGGAGGCAGCGCAGCGGAAGGCCAGGATGGAGCAGATGCTGAAGCAGAGCCGCCTGGAGCAGATTGCCCAGCGGGAGCACAGCATGGCTGTGCAGGTGCAGCAGGACCGCCACGAGTTCGAGAGGATCCTCAGGTGAGAGGGGCAGCGCTAGGAGCTTGCTGGCAAGATGGCTGGACTCTGCCTTGCAAAACGGGGCCGAGGGATGGGTGATGCGGTGGCAGGGGGGCTGCCGTGGGGGCTCCCAGCAACCAAGTCAGCTCTGATGCTGGCTGAGGCACTGAGGGCAGGCACGTGCCGGGGCTGGAGTGGGGCCTTTCATCTGCCCCAAGCTCTCCCGCAGGGCCCAGCGGGAGCAGATGGACAAGGAGAAGGCGGAGGAAGTGCGGAGAGCAGATCTGCGGCTCGCCCATGCTAACGATGTCCGGCATCAGATGCAGGAGCGTCAGCTTGGCGCCCGCGTCTGAAGAGGGAGGCCCGCCAGCGCAGCCAGCGCATTGCCCAGCTCAAGCAGCAGAAGATGCAGGAGCTCAGGTGAACGTGCTGCCAGCAGCCACTTTACGTCCCTGGTTCCCTGCACGTCCCTAAGTCCTTCCTGGCTTCCTGCCATCTCCTGAACCCTGGGCCACCTCACAGGTTCCTTTGGATCCTCATCAAACAGGATTCGCTCCAGAGGCCCGCCAGCGCAGCCAGCGCATTGCCCAGCTCAAGCAGCAGAAGATGCAGGAGCTCAGGTGAACGTGCTGCCAGCAGCCACTTTACGTCCCTGGTTCCCTGCACGTCCCTAAGTCCTTCCTGGCTTCCTGCCATCTCCTGAACCCTGGGCCACCTCACAGGTTCCTTTGGATCCTCATCAAACAGGATTCGCTCCAGGCCCACAGTCCTAAAGTTCGGCCCCGGTGTAGCACAGGGTGGCTGATGATTTCTTTCCTCTGCAGAGCCTCCGGCATCCCTGAGAAGTACTGCACCCAGCTGGAGCGGAGGGCCCTGAGCCGAGCGAGTGCAGGCTGTGGCCAGGCTCAGCTCCACGAGGAGCAGGGCTCTGGTTCCCCAGTGACTCAGGGGTTTCCATTTTCTTAGGCTGAGTTTTCTATGAACAGAGATGTTTATGGAGCAGACTGTGTGTTTCATCTTTCCTTAGCTCTGGGTTTGCAGGCTGGGAGCTGCCCTTGGGGCTGAAGTAGCCCAAAGGCTCATTGTCTGACCTGCCCCACTCCCGGCACAGAGGTTGCCCCTTGCCCATCTCCCCACATCCACCGGGAGGGAGCTGCTAGGGGTAGCCTGTGTCCTCAGAGGAGCCAGGAGCATCTCCAGGCCCTCAGCACAGCTCAGTGTCAGCACTAAAGCAGCTCAGAGCAGGGTGGGTATTCGCAGCTCGCGCAGGGTGGCTCAGGTAGGGTCCTGTGAGCCAGGCAGGCTCTTCTCCACGCTTATAGTCCTGGCCCTGGCTACCCACAGCTGCATCATCCCTGGCAGTGCCACGTTCTCACCAGCCTGTCACCTTCAGGCCCTGCGGCAGTGGCCTTCTTCAGGGGCAAAGCAAAGAGACCGGAGCATGATGCAAACATTTAAAATCCATTTGGATACAGACTAGCAGCTTCAGAGGGCTGGGATCCTGTAGGAGTGGCTCTGATTAATTGTCAGAGCAGCTGAAAAATAAGGAGAGCCAGCAAAGGTGAGACTGCCCAGGGCAGGGGGATGGTTCGGAGGACTCTGCTGTGAGCCCTGAGCCTCTTCCAGGCTGGGTAAATAGGGAGGATGAAATGCTGTAGCCTCTTGTTCTCTCTTCCCTGTCTCTTCTCTGGCTTCTCTGTGTCTCCATGTCGTGATGGAGCCAAGTACTGCGGGGCTGCGTGGTCCCTTTTGGGGCACAGGCTGAAATGCATTGCTGGCCCTGCAGGGCATCTGCCACTGCAGACCTGACCCCGAGAATGCCCCCATGGCCACCGAGCTCTCTGGGACCCCTGGGGCCTCAGCACCAGTGCCCAGCCCAGACAGCAGCTGTGGTGCCCAGCACCAGGCTCGGCTGCTCACACCTCCATCCCCGGTCCCCAGCGGCCACACGCTGGCCGTGTCACTCTCGGTCACTGCCTCGGCCAGAAAGTCACAGCCTTCTTCTAGGCCAGGCTCAGCCCGGAGGGTTTCAAAGCCACCGCGCCGGCTGCGATGAGGGGGCTGTGACCACTGGCAGGCAACCAGCCGGGGGGCGGGGGGC